AAAAAGCAATCAGTCCATAGAGATTAATCCTTATTATCAGTCAATACAAAATTGACTGTGTAACTTTACAATAAGTCGTTTCTGAACATCTCGGGAAACATCATTGTGGCCTATTAAATATATAAATGGATTTTAATGCATGGATTTTGCTTTCTAATAGGTGTAAAAAGACCAATACAGAAACTTCTGACCACCAGTGTATTCTGGAATTACAAATACATGGCTTAGGCCTTGATTCATTTTGTAATATCTGAGTCAGAGTGTAGAGTCAGATGGGTCAGGTGGGTAAAATTTGTTGAGAATATAAATAAGTCCCTAACGGCTCATGTATTTAATTTTTTTAATGTTTTTTTTTTTAAAAGAGCCAACAAAAGCAGTTAAGTGAAGCAAAAGTTAATCTTTTCTCCAGCCTTGGAGTGCCTTGTAATATGTTTGAACTGCTTGTGTTACTGCAATAGTTCAAATGCGTCTTAAAGCACTCTAAAACTATAGCAAATGCATGTGTTTTTGCTGCTTTGCACTGTATTTCATCAAAATGTTGGGATGTTCAACAAAAAAACAATTATAGGCAGTGAAATTTCCCTATAGTAGTAGTTCCTAATGTTTGGTACTTGTAGCCCTATGGGTGGATATGGCACATCCAAGGGGTGCTTCTGTTTGTGAAATTAAACTTGAAAGTTTATCTAGCCAAGTTATGGTTAGTTGGAACCAATAGTCCTCCATGAAAGCAGTAGGGAGCACAGCAATAAGTAAGTTGCCAGGTGGACAATAGATTCCAACCTTTATTTAAAACAGACGATTAGAGTAGCAGGAAAGGGTCCAAAGGACAGAGGGATCCACTTAACTAATTAGTACATCACACAGATCTTGCATCTCTGCTTCATGACTAGGAAAAAACCGCCAATACTGTAATCTAAATAAAACCAATAAGAGTGCACCACTCTAGAGCTATAAAGTTCAGTAGCTCTCATTTCAAACCCAAAGTCCAAAAATGAATGGGTTTAATTCTCATATATTTTTGATAGTGGGAGGAGCCATTCAAATCATTCAATGAGGCCCCAGAGCTAACTGTAACACATACAGAGCCTAAAGCTGGCCATATACTGTGAGTTTTTCCTCACAGGGCAGAACGAGAAAAAACTCTTCATTCCCTATCAATGCTAACAGCGTGAAAGGATTTGCCATTTCCCCTGCCGGGCTATACACTGCTGTCAGGATACCTAAACAGTTACTGACTTCAGTCACTGTTAACATCAGATTTTTTGGACTGGCTCCTTTTAAAAAGTTGATGGTAAAATCGACTGTTGATTATTTGGGCGGGGTCGAGTTGGCAGGACTTGGCCAAAATTCAATCAGTGTATGGCCAGCATAATAATAATAATATTCCAAACTGCTCACAAACCTGAAATAACCGTTTGCTGTTTCAGCAGCATAAATAATTTTTTTGCATGTCTCCGTTTATATTTATTGGATTTATGATGGAAGTCAGATATTTTCTGTTTTAGGAATGCTTTATTTTTCTTCAAATTAAACTCAATATACTGGATTAAAATTTTAACAAGTACTGAACTTTATATAAAACAAACTGGATTAGTTATTTTGCTGTTTCTTAATATTAATAAATCAATATATTCTTCTACTTAGTAGCTACTTTGTGGTGAGTAAATATATTTTAATGGTATGTAAGATAAGTACCATTGGGGGGAGGGGGGCGTGCCTTGAAGGACATTTGTTGGAAATTCGTGTTTGGGAAAGACTGTGTCCAAAAGTTATCTATCCCATTTCTCACATCTGTGAAAAAACGCATTTGTCTGGTAACAGTGTATGATTGTGTATATAATTAATTTTAGATATAATTCTCTTTTATCATAAACGTATATGCTACAATTCAGTTCAAACATATATGCTACAGTTCATTTCAATTTCAGATTTTCTTATGTATATTACCTAAATGGGTTATTTAGTGTCTGGTAAATCAATATCTGTTGGAGATGGTAAAAATGAAGCTACTTTAATATAATGATTTGTTGGCATTGTATGGCATTTTACAAACAAATGCCATACAATGCACACCATTGTAAGATCACTACTTTTCTCCAGCCTTTTTAGCAGTGTACAAATGATGGGTTATGCCTTGTTTGCCAGCTTTACCAGGACAGCTGATTGTTATGGCTTCACTTTACTTTTGTTCTCTTTCTGATGACCACAGCTTAAAAAGATATTTTTAGAGCTGTGGAGCATCAGGGTCACTGACCATATACATACATAGACATATGTGTTGGTCTTTGATAACTGTTTGTATTTAGTGTGCTTCAGACACCTCTGGTCTGGCTTCTCGGGAAAACAATTATGATCATCAAGGTTTTCTAACATGTCTAATTGCCAGTTCCCAAAGAAGCCCTTGGCGGCAGTGTTTGAGAGTACTTCATAAACATTAGATCATTTCTAAAAATGGCCATATCAGGAGAATGTCATCTAATGTCTATGGATACCTTTAGGCCACCAGTACGGCCTATTTGGGTACCTTACACATTCATGCCCCACTCAGGGCTTTTTGATTCTCTTAAGTGTAGGGAACACACAATAGGTTGGACTTAATGGACTTGTCTCTTTATTCAACCTCAAATACTATGTAACTATGAACAAGTCTACATTTGTCTACATTTTATTGATTTATAGCGTTATTCACAAAATGGTGAAGAGTTTGGAGAAGGCAGGAGAAGTGAACAATCTAGCCCAAAATAGCCGATTTGGAAAAATTCTCTAATTCAGCTCACTTTCCAGTTCAGCTATGTTGTCCTAGATTGTTCACTTCTCCTGCCTTCTCCAAACTCTTCACCCTTTTGTGAATAACCCTGTTAGTCTTTGTGAGCATGTACCCCGAGTAATAACAATGACAGATTGATTTGTTTGAGATAGATATTAAATATGGCAGAAAAAAAAGATCTGGGATTTTCAAAAACTTATTTTTTTTTCCAGTCTCTGAGAAGATACATTTGTAACATTATAAACTGTAAGCAGTATTGCAGACTCACATGAATATAATTTATAATGTACATGATACGTAGTAGTTTACAATTCACTCCCTGTTGCTGATAAAAGTGATATGTTAGTAAAGGCAATGGGGTTCACTTACCAAAGAAGTACAGAATGTTCACTTTGCAAAGTAAATGTTCACACAGACTAGATATAGCTAGATTTTCGATCTGGTGTGTCTGCAAATCATCAATACTTGTTAGTTTGAAAGAAAAGAATGTAGACATTATAAAAAAAGTTTGTACTATGACAACTGATATGGGCAATGGTGCAGTACTATTGCGACTGATGATAGCAAATCTATGTTTGATTCAATTAGCTTAAAGAATAAGTGAGTTTTAAAACAGAGTACACTTACCCTTTCTTGAGATAACTATGCCCCCCCTGCTCAGATACATACTTAACTTGACCTGGCTGCCGCAGTCTCCAGCGTTCATTTACATCCCGACCTAAAAATGTCCTGTGCGTTAGTGGCACCTTCACAGTAGCTCACCATAGTTTTTATGGGGCTGTGTTCCAAGACTAGAGATGAAAGCCCCATAGAAGTCTATGGAAAGCTGCAGCACAGCTGTGGCCAGTGTTCAGATTTTCAGGTTGAAATTCAAACAAAAAGGATAACTACACCTTTTTTTATTTCACTTATCTATAAAGGAATAATGTAATGTAATGTATTTACAGGTTTTAAAAAACGTTATTGGGTGTATGTAGGGACTCCTTGGCTCATCTAAATAAGAGTTATGGCAGCCCTGAAATGTCCTCCGAATTGCAATAATGCCTTACTTTTTTATTAGGGCTGTGCAAATTAACGATTAATTTCTCGATTAATCGTTATTCTTTTTGATCGATTACATTTTTTTTGATTGATTACATTTTTTTTGATGGATTAAATTTTTCTTGAAACGTTCTGCATGAGCGCCAGCCAAGGCATTGGCCTATACACATACAGCACAGCAATGAAGTAATAAAATGAACTAGGATCACACTAATCCAGGACGTTATTATTCTGAGTTGCCCCACTCAAGCGGCGGCCATATTGAGTGGGGCACGTGAGATTAATAATGTGCTGGATTAGTGTGATCCTAGTTCATTTTATTACTTCATTGCTGTGCTGTATGTGTATAGGCCAATGTAGTTTGATCTGTATGTGCGTTATAATTAATCGAAATTAATCAATTAAAAAAAAATTCGATTAATCGAACACGAAAATTTTAATCAGTAACAGCCCTATTTTTTATTAGATACAGGTACACTGGGATATAAAGCCTTTAATATTCCACACAGCCTGGTGTCAGATGGGTGCTTTGTTCTTTTTATTAATTGTTCACATTTTATTTGTTTATTACATTAGTAATCATGCAATCTTCTAATGTTGTCAGATGAGTGTGATAGCCACAAGTCGCATACAGTGAAAGGCAAGGACCATGGTCTTGGCATGCATAAAGTATGCAAGAACTGAAAACATTTAATATGAGATTTATACATTTCCATGTATCAGGCTGAATTCAGCATAGCTGAAAACTCATTGACCCTTTTCAAACTCATAGGAAATTTTGACAGTCTCTTATCTTTCCTATAGCATGTATGTCTGACGCAAGCTTGGTGAATATATGCTTGCTTCTAAGAAGCAATATATTTAAAAATAAGAAAAAACCCCGTATAATTTGTAATGAGTGTGAATCAAAAATAGCTTTGATGGGCAAGAATATAATTTACCTTGTTTGGGAGATCGCCCCTTGAGTTGTAGTTCAGTTACTATCAGTGTATAAAACACTATACAATATAAACATTCAGTTTATAATATGTTATAAAAACTAAAGAATGTGCCTGGACTATACTGAATGATTTCTGCTTTGCTGTGTACATTGCACTAAGAATGTTGTTGTATCCATTTATATGTTGGGTGTAATTTTCTAGTAGACCCTTATCCTTGATCGGAACTCAACCATGTGTAATCTTGTTTTCAGAAGGCAGGGAGTGTGTAAACTGTGGAGCAACCTCAACCCCTTTGTGGAGACGAGATGGCACTGGACATTACCTTTGTAATGCATGTGGACTCTATCATAAAATGAACGGCCAGAATCGACCCCTCATTAAACCTAAAAGAAGGCTGGTAAGTGACACCCCAGCAGTTCTCTTTTTTCTTTAGTGTTCTGAATCAGAAAGGGAGGCCTTTAGTGGGAAACTGGCATCCTTAATGGTAGATTTACTATAGTACAAAATGTTTTCTAGGAAGGATGATTAAACATTTTGGTCCTACATTTTCCATCATATTACAGTTTGCCTGGTTTCTAGCTCTTACACGTGTTTGGTGTTAAGTTAGTTATATGAATGATCTTTGGCTTTCAGCTATCTTCATTAGTCAACAATGATACTTGCAATTAACTTACTAAGGGATTAATGATCTCTTCTTAGGATCATTTTAGGATGATGTTTTTTGCATATGTAACTACCTGCATATTGAGTATAGTAAAGCAAACCACATCTTCCAATCCATTTTGTTGTGCTTTAAGTGCTTTCTTCACAAACAGTAGTAAATGCCCATGATGGTGTTGTATAATATTTTCTAATTATCTAGACATAGATAATCAACTTTTTGGATGAAGATGATATATTTAATCGGAAAATAATTTGTGAAATGTGTTACAAAGGCCCAAGGGTTGAATTACTAAAGGGGCCAATGAATTATTGTATCAAACATCCAATCATATTCAAGTTTAGGACTATTTTTAAAAATTGTCCTGAATGTGATTAGGTATTTCAAGTGAGCACAGTTTCACTGGGACTTTTCTAGTAAGCCAACACCTACTACTACTACTACTACTACTACTACTACTACTACTACTACTACACCTTGCTACTGATACATAACTAAAACAATGGGGTTAATTAACAAGAGTAGGAGACAGACTGTTCACTTGACAAGCTTAACTTGTCACTTCACAGGGTAAAAAGCTAAACTATTTTCACTTTGAATACCCAATCATGTGCAGAGGGGATTAAAAAACAAAACAACAACAGGATTATGTCTTGTACGTGATTGGATGAGTGAAGCGAACACAGCCTCACTTTATTCACTTAGCTAAGTGAACATTCACTTTGCTAATTGGCCAATCTCTATTCCTTTAATACATTACCTACATTGTGTGTTTCCACATATTGTTCTTGTTATGGTAAAGCTGATTACTTGCATATTTTAAATAGCACTTTATAATAAAATCCTATAGTGTATTACTAATCCCTTGTGCTGTTGTAGTCAGTTAGGGAAGCACTTTTTTCTTTTTTTCAAAACAGGGGCAAGACATAGCTTTGATTTTTTGGCAGCTGTCTCCACACCAACCCCCTCCTTATATGAGACTCTGACTTCCCAGGAAAAATCTGCCGGAAATCTGAACTCCTTAGATAACTCCCAAGCAACAATTTCCTCAAAGTAAACCATTAAGTGTGTTGTACTGCAGGGAGAAAGGACTAAGGAAACTGTAGACTATTTAGATGGTTATATGTCATCACTTGTAAACACTGATCTGCACTATTGCAAATCTCATGCAGAGGTCATTAGGAAACTGGAATAGAAGTGCTCATTAACAAGCTAGCATTCTAGTCAACATTAGCAAACTAACATTCAAGAAGACAAAGGGTTGACTCAGTAAAGTAGTCATTTTCAGCCCAGGTTATTGTTCCTTCAAATACCCAATCCGGTTCAGGAGAATTTAAAAATGTAACATTTCTGCTAAGCCTAAAGTAAACAAATGCTAGCATAAAAATACTCTGTAAATGTGCAAAACTCAATGTAACTCTTGAAACACATATTTTCCCGTAATAACGATTTCAGTTATTTCCTGTAAACCATTTGTTTATGATACAACATTGTTTTTCTTGCAGTCTGCAGCTAGGAGAGCAGGTACGTCTTGTGCAAACTGTCAAACTACCACCACCACACTGTGGAGGAGAAATGCCAATGGCGATCCCGTGTGTAATGCCTGTGGGCTCTATTACAAGCTGCACAATGTAAGTGTCTACTGTTAATAATGAGAATACTCTGTTTCATCTTGCAATTGGTTGTCTCAGTACTCTGAAAAATGTGCTTTAACCAGTTAGACGTAATAATATGGATAAGTAATTGGAACTTAATGATCGGTGATAGTGCTCCAGGTCTCATGCTGACAGGAGTGTTGATGAAACAAATAATAATATTACACTGCCCCACTTTTAGCCCCCCCTTTTTTTTTCTTTGTAGCAGAAACCTGGCATGTGATTTTAGAATTTTTGATTGGAATGTATGATCCTTTGAATAGTTGTTTTTATACAGTTACGTAATATGGAAGTATTTCTTTAGTAGCAAAAGGTACCTGCAAAGTATTGTTACTATTTATACGAGTGCCATTGTCTTTAAAGAATAATTAAAGCCTCCAGTGTTTTTGCATATATCTACTGCTAGCAAGCAGTAGATATATGCAAAAAGTGTAAAAAATAAATAAAAACGCTTTGAAAAGGGTAATACTTACCCGTGTCTTCCTCACGCGCTCCCGTCCGAAAATGTGAAAAATCTCGGGCGGCCGCAAAGCATCTTGAGGCGGGCGCATGCACAGATCACATTTTCGGCCGGGACGCGAGGAGAGACACAAGGTAAGTCTATGGACGTGTGCACCCGCATGCAGACACCGTGGGACAGGAAGTGCCAGCAAGCCCGGAGGAGTCAGCGCTGGAGGGACAGATGAAAAGGACAGGAAAGAAGAAGATCGGATTAAGAAACATCATTTAAGTTAAGTGCTGACATTAACATTGGGGGGAGGGAAAAACATTTTTGACTTTAATGTCACTTTAACTAATAAATACTGTGTATATGCAGCAGGTTTATCAATAACTTTAAAAAATGGAAAGAAAAAAGACAAAGCAAATCTTTCCAACTCATTTTGCCCTTGTATGGAATGAAAATGATTGCGACATCTATCTAATCTGCTGTTTGGTGTCTATGGACAGATGAGCTGTGCCCTGCCTGGCCAGTTGCAGCCATAATGGTGACAATCTTTATATTTATGCCAATGTCAGGCCATCATACTACTCTTCATTCTGCAGAAACAAACTGATGGCATGTGTTAGAACCTATAAAGTGTGCGACTGGTTTTTAACTTTTGGATCCCATTAAATTATTTGTTTATAACTGAAGGTTTAAAATGAAGGCAGGTTTCTTGGGCCAGGATAAAAAATAGGCTACAATTAAAAATAGGCTGAATTAAGAAGAAATATTGGGGTTGGCCCTTTACAGGGAGGATGGGCATATTTATCACTATCTTCCATTCTTAATAAAAGATCAGCCTATGTAAGGCCACTCTTACGCTAGATATTGACACCACAGGGTGTTAGGTGTGAGGCAATAATCTGCCCACGAAATTTGTTGTTGAATTTCCCAAGCATGTAAGTTAGTGTCATTGTCTGGGTAGGACAACCATCTTATTTCGAGGGAAAGAATTTCAATCGGCCCAAAATATTTAGCACAACCGGACACTATTTTTACTGAAATCGCTCATCTATAGTTGTCTGCATACATCCAGATATGACATGATCATCACCTGATAACCGTCAGATCAAAAAATTATCATATGTCTATGAAACCAGTGCAACCACTGCAAACATGATTTGGGAGCCAATCTTTGGGGAGAAAATCCCAGCACCTAAAATTTCTGCTGAGTGTGTGAATTATGCCTATGTGTACCTTACAAAACCACTGTCTGGTCTACCGATCATTAGTATGTATAAAGGTTTAATTTTATATTGAGAAATCTTAGAACAAAATGAAGAAAAGTCACCCACAAATTATGGAAAATTAGGATCTATTGAATTCTATGGTGACCACTGAATCTGGTGACATAATTTAGGTTTATTATGTGACTGTATGAGATTGTAATGTAACCATGCAGGTAAAATTCTTTAGCATTTGATATAGATTATGTACTCATTCTTAACAGATTGAGTAAACACTTATGATTTTGTAAATAAAAAAATGATGTATCATAGGGCTCTAGGAGACCCGAACTCAAAGCACAAAATTACTGAAACATTAGGGAGGGTGCTTTGGGGACAATGCAAAAACCTACTTTTTAGTTTTATATATGCAGGTCCTGCTTTCCAATTCAGGGTCATGTGACTTAAATCCACCACTACGGCACTGACTTCAGCATAGTCTTCAGTGAAAGTAAATGAACACTTATGTTGGTGCCCCTAATGTTGACCTAAAGTTGGACATGTGACCTGATTCTGGCTTTAGGTCACATCACCAGAAAATAGAATGCAAAGCTGACGGGTAACCTTCTTTACTCTGCTCTGACCTTACTCAACACCATGACTAATGTGTCACACACTAATGTGTGTAATTGTTTAACGTGGACCGAAACTTTAAGTTTAGATATTTTTAAAGTATTCATAGATATAGGAATTAGTCAGTTGATGGTCATTATATCTTTAGGTTAAAGCAGACACTCCTGACTGACCAAACTTAAGAATATGGTTAAGTTAGGCTGGACTTGTTGGGCCACTTGGTATTGCAAGTTTGAATAAAAGGCTGCAGATCGATATGTCTGGACACCCTCCTGCTGCTATTTGTCTTTACATTAACATGCTCACTGGGTATTTTAATGAAACAATTGTTGTTTGGCAGTAAGATTGTGCCTTTACATACATCCACCATCTGAGGTGTGTGTCTAACTTCATTGCATTCCCTATGCCATAACACATCATTGTTTTCAGACATGTTATTTTTATTGGTTCTCATTGCTAAAAATAACGGTGTTATGGCAAATAATGATCACTGCAGCTTAGTGAATAAAGCCAGATGAATGTTAAAATAAATGCATTTTATACACATTTATTTCCCTTGCCTGTTGACATGAGTGTCATTTTCTTTTTTTCAGTGAGATTGAAATAATTACATTTAAATTTAAAGTCAAATGATTATTATTAATAATGAAAAATAAAATAAAATCTGGCAAGAGCTTTCATAATGTTTATACACTAAGCTAAGTAAAAAACAACATTTCTAATGTTTTGGCAGCATACATGTTAATAACAATAAATTGAAAATTGGAAACCCTGCATATTTACATAATGATAATAATAAAAAGAAATACATCTGACTTGGCTGGAGCCAGATTTATTATTAAAGCACAGTTTTTTTCTTTTTTATCTTTGTGGAAATGTGCTTTTACATACAGTACCGTCAAGTTTTGAGGTTGTCCATAAACAAAATGTCTAGTGTTTTCACATTGTTTCTATAGATAACAGTCAATAACTACTAATTAGTAGTATATCAAAAAAGCTTTTTACAATACTTCTACTTTTACAATTTTCTTCAAAGCTCAGTTGATATTTTGCAGTAAACCAGAGAAATGCATGCTCAAATTACATTATTCAGGTGTAGGGTTTTAATCTCATTTAACATTAATTTATGCATTCATATTTATGCATATGGTTTTATAACAAGCGCAGGATACCTATTAGCAATCATTATGCACAACTGCTTTTAGTTCAGATCACATGTATTAATTGTTCATCTTCCAAAAATCCGGCAGGTTTAATTTTATTAGGAAATGCTAAACAAATATATTTACACTTGGCTGTCAGACCTCCTAGGTGTTCTCATCAGGTGTGAAACACAACAAGCCTGTAGCAGGATTAAACTTGCTGTATTTTCATTTCATTAAATATTTTCCTTTGATATGTACTTTAGATGGTGCAGTGTAAAATAGGTCATCATTTCACATCTGCAACTGAAACCTGTCTCATATTTCCAAGGAACATATATTCATTGCAGGCAAATAGCTTCTTGTCTGGGATAGAAAACAAGATTCCTGCTCTTGTTAACTCTTTCAAACAATTATATGTTACAACTATGTTATATTACTACAATTACTACAATTATTTTATGGCAAGAAGGCCTAAATGTCATTACAATGCATTAAGAGAGCCAGTGAATTAAAACTAAATTAAGAATTAGCATCTCAAATTAAATTAGTTAGTTAACCCATGATGTCATTCGATAATATACTACTTAAATTAGTTTTAGATGATCAAAATCTGTTATAATGCTGTTAATTTATGCAGGAAAGCTAGAAACGTACCCATATGATCAAGGAAAAAAAATGTATGATATAATTAGCGTTTTTTACATTTTTTGTTAAAAACAAGTATTCTTTGCTGCATGATTAATGGTTATGTTGCCACATTTTGCCCCATGGTGGATCTTGTACTCACCGGGTATTAAAATGTGTTAATGCCTCACAAAACAATTAACGTGCATATGTATGCCCAAACTTACTGTGTGTATGGGTTTGAGTCTCAATTAGTGTCTATTGCTGGCACCATATTTTTTTATAAATCCGTGCAGACGTCTGCTCTCACTATGTGCATATGCCTGGGAATTAGTGGGAACGTTTAAAAAACCTTGCTCCATTGAATATTGCTGCTCCATACCAATAAAGTGGGTAGCAGATCTTTGTATAAATTAAGTAAAAAAATGTACTGTAACTTATTTGTAGTTGTATCACTTTTTTATTATGATTTGGTTAAGGGTAAGCAACATGTTTATTGTTAAACATAGAAAACAAGAATTTATCGTCTAAATTTTTATTCGCTTTCAACATATATCAGTTTTAACAAAACTGTACATTTTCATAATAAGCTAATTCTTCAATTAAATAATTGATCACCCATTGTAAGCTACATCTTGAAGACTGGCCACCGAGCATACCATGTTTCCCCATGTAGATGTCATTTTTGTGTGGGCAATGGATGCACAAGCAAGTAAGCATGATTGTGCTGATCATGAGTGGTTCTGTTATCCCTGCTCACCCTCACTGGTTTGCTCCAATTAATTAAATCAGGCCCAATATGTTGCACCACTATGCTCTGCTGTATTAAAAAATAAGCTATAAAAGAAAAAAAAAACCCCAACAGTTTGTAGTACTACACGAATCTGACAATAACTATGTGCCTCACTTGTGGAAAATAACATAGACAATGTGATAAAAATTAAAGGTAGAATCATTTGTTTTTTTGTTACATATATTTCTCTAATATAACTTTGTTTGCACAGCATTAACACTTGAAGCTGTGTGTTTAAATGTTTATTTAGAGAAACTATCATTTTTCAAACTGAAGAAAATGTCAAGCTGTCAATATAATTAGCTTTATGTAGATTTAATTAATAAATGGAAATTCAATTAAACCTGCACACAAAATAGTTTACTGCAGCCATTTTGAGATGTATCATTTCTTGTTAAAAACATAACTATGGACACTTAAAGAAATTAAAAAATATGTTTTAAAATTGTGATATAGTATAATACAGTATAAGAACAGCAACAATGAAATAACAAGAAGAATAAAAAGCGCCTCCTTGTGATTAATGTTTCCCATAAAGCTCCTTGGGTTCCAACATCCCTGAGAAATAGTATTAATAGAAAATACAGTAAAATGTATCCAAAGCTTGTATTTATATATTATTTATATGATCAAGCAGATCATTAATCACAGTTAAAAAAATATGTGTAAGTAAATAACATTTCAAATTTATATTAAAAATAGTGTTATTTGTGCCTCTGTCTGGTTCACTATATTGTCTGAATTCTCCTTGATCGGTGTATTGAGCAGCAGCCATATTTATGTAGCCAAAGACCACACAGGACAAAACAAATTCATCATGCCTCAGCTTTTGAGATATTCAGAGACACACAGATCATTGTATATTCAGGTCCATGAGGGTGGGAGTTTATTGATATGACACATCACCTGATCAGAATACTAGTAATTGCAGCTTTTGCTCAGTTATAACGAGAAAAATCACAACATGGTGGATTTGGGTTCTCTATATCAGAATCATATCAGAGGTGATGTTCTTACACAGTTAACTTCCTTTTGTAGCTGGATATACAAAGCGGACATAACATTTAGAGTTACATTTTTATAAAATTAGGTCTTCTCTCCTGGTTTAAAATGTCCTTGCAACTTTGCATAATATGTATTAAAAAATAATAATTTTATAATCAGTTTTTTTAAATTTACTAGTATGCACTGACATCTAGGGAAGGGGAAGTAAGTGAATTAGCAATAGACAAGATTTATTTTAAGCTCTGTGTTTTACTGTCCATATGAATTGGCTTATGAGGAGAAATCTGTGAAAAGATGTTATTTGCACCTAATGTATAAATACATAGCCCATAATGCCCAGCATGTAGTAGCTGTGGTGTGAAGTTCAGTTATTACTGGCCCGAAACTGACAGCTGTCAGTAAAACTTGCCTATTTACATACACACAGTCTATAAGGCCTAGCAGATTTTGCACATACACATAGTCCATAATGCCAAGCAACCTATGAACATTACAAAGTTCATACAAACTATATAACATACAACTGTGTTTTAGAATGTGACAAGTGAGGACTGTATGCAGAAATGTATGCAAGTTAAACATTTGCATGTTGAGTATTTAACATGACTAAGTACACTCATAGACACTAAGTAGACTATTTCCTTCCATGAAACACAATGTACTGAACAGGCATAGAGCATAAACCCTATAAATAATTATTATAAGTAACTACCAAACTTTTTTTTGTAAATAACTATTAGCTTAGGTTAGTTTGGTCACTTATACATTACCATTATATTTTTAATAACTGTATCCTTGAAATACTGGTGCTATTACTTCACTGTCAGTGCTGTAGTGAACTTTTCAGGGAACTGGAAAGCCTGGTCAGGCAGACGCTCGGCAGGTGTCCACATGGGCTATAAAACTGACCACCCTCAGCAGTGTGCGTAGCTAATTAGTAAGATAATAGGGACTCGCTTTCAGGCTAAGCTCTGCAAGGATCACGAACAATTCCCTGCTCTTAATGTAGCGCACCACTGTTTTATTGGTTGACCTTAACATGCTGCGGTCATCCTTTGTAAAATAAAAGAACAATTTGCCATGTAGCTGTTAACTGATAGGTGGATGTTTCCAGCCTAATGCAATTAATGCAATGCAGTAAAACACAGCATGTAGTAGCTGTGGTGTGAAGTTCAGTTATTACTGGCCCGAAACTGACAGCTGTCAGTAAAACTTGCCTATTTACTAAATATGTCAGCTTTGTTGGGTTCATTGTGGTTCAAAGTACTAAGCTGTGAAATGCTGCATGTACAGTTCACAACCCACAGTTTTTGGACTTGAAATATGCAGGGTAAATCACCTATAAATTGTGTTGTAGAACATAGTGAAAAACAATAGATGACTATTATAAGTAAAGCTACTAAACAAGCTGTAAATGTTAACTCTGATGAAGGATTGAGGAATTAGGGTTGAGAATTGTTTTTACTTTTCTTTACTATTTTTCTGTTTAAGCAGGTCCAGACTGCTAACATGTACTATTTATTGTGTATAGTAATGTATTACTATGCATACTGCTAAGTCTATAATCCAGCCACAGTTTTTCTGTATTATTATGAATAATGACAACAATAATAATAATGATATTATTATTATTAATAATAATTTCCCTAAAAAAGACTTACTGATACATGAATTTGGTGTTGATTTACTAAAGGTGTCGAGATTGTTCACTTGGTAAATTAAATGTTCACCCTGGGGAGTGTATGTTTATTTTGCAAATTTAATATTCACTCAGCTTAGCAATTAAGGTGAAACTGCCTTTCCTTTAACTATCCAATTATTTGCAAGGGCAATAAACAAAAAAACACAAAATATGTGCTTCCACGTAATTCGAGGATTGAAGCAAACACAGCTACATTTTTCCGTCTTACTTCCTGTCCTTTCCAGCAACAGAAGCACATTTTCTGTAGAGTACTTCTGACAATTCTATTGTTACTGTCTGTGCCTTCCTCTCTCAGAGAAACCAACCCCCCCCCCACCCCATTTCTTATACGGGCATCTCAGTGACAGAAGTAATGGAAAATCTACCCAAGCGAGTCACAGGCAAAAAAAAACTTGACAGAGGCATTTGCTTTACCTGTTGTTGATTCGCATGTGCCTTGTTTCAATCATTACTGCCAAATACATTGCCAATGTGCTTGCATGTACATAAATACTCTGCAACAGCTACTAAAGAATGAGAAACAAAAACAAATAATAAATTTTTGTTTAGATTAACAGACCCTTGACTATGAAGAAGGAAGGAATCCAGACAAGAAACCGAAAAATGTCGAGCAAGTCAAAAAAGAGCAAAAAGATCCATGATGTCCTCGACGATTATCCCAAGAGCAGCTCGTTCAGCCCTGCTGCCCTCTCCAGGCACATGTCCTCCCTCAGCCACATTTCACATTTTAGTCACCCTGGCCACATGCTGACCACGCCGACACCAATGCATCCATCATCTGGTCTCTCTTTTGGACCTCACCATTCCAGTATGGTAACTGCCATGGGTTAGACTTTACTGTTTGTAACTTGCATCCCTTTTAGGACTTTCCTCTATATTTTGAATTTTTTTTGGAAAGTGATGACCCTCTAAAATATGAAAAAGAAAATTGTTATTTAAATGCCTACACACAGTAGCGCATACAACTTTGAAAGGAACTCACTGTGGCATCTACGCATTCTTGACCACTGAATCTGGATCCCATTTGTGAATAAGCCATTGAAACCGTGACTCCCTCTTGATAAGGGTTTCTAGTGCTGTGAACAAAATGACAAACATTACAAAAAAAAGAACTTTATGCTGTACATTTTGAAGACTTTTATTTCTGCTTAGCACCTGTATGAAAAGCATGAAGGACAGCAAGATTATGGGAAGCCTGGCAGTCCATCGTAAGAGTGAATGAACTCTTAGGCTGCTTGACTCACAACGTGAACACACTGCTGGTCTTGTTTTCTGCAACTGGCAGAAGTTGTTTGATGCATTTAAACTGTAGACGGTTCATACGTTCAGGCTGTGGGTCTCTTCGCAGGAAGCACTGTCAATCCCGGGCAATTAACGTTACTATGCGGACTTTGTCAGAAAGGATTTGCAGATAGCCGTTCCTCAGGCCTCAATGCATTGTGAACAAGTTCCTGTAATTGTTGTTTGTATGTATAATTCAAAGACACCAAAATATAAAAAAGATGTAGATTTATTTCATCATATTATACAGACTGAATGGTTGTATAAATTTATTTACTGCTAGTGTAAAGAAACCGCTTTTATTGTTTTCATATTTTTTTCTTTCTTTAAAAATAAAATAGACTGCATTCTGTTGAAATGGGTGGTTGTCATCTACTTGTTTTAAAACTGTGATCGAATGCTGTGATCGAATGTTGACACATGGATAGACGTGAAAAATAATAAACAATGGAGCAATTAGAAAACACAGAGACCTGTCTGTATTCAGTATACATTCAAATAGCTCTGAATGGTAACTCTGTGCCGGCACCAATAAGGTGACTTGACGGAAGAGGCTGTGAAAAATCCCCAGTGACTTTCTTTGCTTGATAAAGAGTGTCTAAAGGTTAGATGTTAAAATAATACTACTAAGTGCTGAAGTTTAGCCAGCAAGACAATTATTTTATGAACTGTAGGAAATTAATAGAAAGCATTAGATGCTTATTATTTGATTTTTTTTACAAGGATTTTTTTTATTAAAGCAGAACTTTGTGCAGAATTTGTATTAACCCTTGCAGTGGGGCTAACCCTGCACTGTGCAGATTAAGTGCTCCTTTGTGTCTAAGTGCTAAAACAAAAAGTTATACTCACCTGAACCGCAGAGCTGGCTGGCAGCTACTCTGCTCCCTGAAGCCCATCTTTTCCTCTGCTCCAGAGATGGTATGTCCCTTGTCGTCCTCACATCCTATACACTGCATAGAACATGATGACTCAAAGATCCTTAGACCGCTGCAGTGGAGGGGGAGAGAGAGAGGCCTCATGGACCGGTCTAAGAGCAAGCTGGCTCCGAAGATCGGGTGAGTATAACTTTTTTAGCACCTAGAAACAAATGAGCGCTTAAAACCTTGCAGTGTTTTTGCCAGGAGTTATTTTTTAAGCTTCTTTTTTTTTTACAAGTAAGATTTATGTAACTTCCAGTAATGTACATGTCCTTATGAAAATGATTTGAGCACCATTGTACTATTAAGAAAGGTTTTAATTGTACTAATTTTAAGGTTAAGTTCAGACTATTTAATTCTGTATTTAGTCAGTGAATGTTCCTTAAACTTGAAACTGTGCTCTTCCCATACTTGAAATCTGCCACTTTCCCAGCAACGTATGCTCAACTTTCCTTTTCTCCCCAACCGCTCCATTCAGGGAGTAGCCACCTTGTGTAAGCTATAAGTTGATGAAGTCATAGCATACACATGCTCCCCATGTGGAAGGTCCTGTGTTTAGTGACTGACCCAGTGCTGTCACATGGAGTCAGTCACATGCACCTCTATACCGAAAATACCAGCTATGGCGCTGAAATACTGAATGTAGCGGTGGGAGTGTAAACAACAGGTGCTGCTGGGGATCAAGGTGAAAACAAACCAGTTTTTTTTAACCTGCATGGGCAAAGCAGAGCTTCCTTTAGGGACTCATTTACACCAGTCCAGTTGGGCTGCATTGATCTGCACTGATCAATGCAGGCTCAACAACATGGTACACAGAAAGCAATTGTTTTCTATGTGCCCTGTTCACGTGACAATGCTGCCTTGAGGTGACTTGCAGTGCGTTGCGTAAAATTGCAGGCATTCTCCATGTTTCCAAAAGGCACTGCAGTTCACCTAAGTCACTGTCCCGCAGCAGAACTGTGGTGCATAAAAATGAATGAAATTAAGTTTTGGGACATTTTCAAAAGATACAACAAGAAAAAAAATGTAAACAGTACCCTGTGTTGTAACAATGCAAGGGACCGCCCCCACTGCTCATACACAACGGACACAAGCCCGCACTCTAAATAGATCTTTTCAGCATGCAGACTGGTATGAATAAGTAATAAATGTCCTAAAATATAATTATAATGTTTACTCAGAGCTTTTTAATTCTTATATTCTATTGTGCATTGTTCTGCTGAAATATAAAGATGATCCCCAGATAGATAATAAAAAAAGTCAACATTTAGTTCAGTTATATACTCACTGAAAATAATAATATATATATTAAGTACAACTAGTACTGATTTCTTCTTTCTTTGCGTGCCCTGTAATGGTCTGTCATCCATAGGAATCAACCAGAGCTCTATTGTTTAGTGCGGGGCTAACTGTCTGACTCTGTGAACATGCTAATAGGATGGGAGAGTATAGAGATGAACTCATTAGTGTGCAGCTGCTCCTTCATTGTCCAATCAGCAGACCGGGCATGCAAACCGCATACCTCAGTTGCAGTACAAGGTGACAGACGTGGCTGTGTTGTTTAGCAGGGGCACACAGATGTCAAGAAAGGGTAAAAACAATTTCCTGGGGTACAATGAAAACATTCTAGTACTCTTACAGAATAATTGTAATTAATATGCCTGTATTGGGCAGGATTTGTTGAGTTGTTAAATCGACTGGTCTGATGCGGCATATTGAACTTGGGTACAACACACAAGGCAGGTGTTGTTATTTATAGCCTGTTCTGATCTGAAAGAATGCAACAGCCAAGCTCCCAACTCCACAATTCTCCGTTCATCTCAGTGCTATTTAAAAAAAAGAACTGTCCTGAGAGTAATCTGCAAGATGCTATTGCTGACCCCCTTCTAAAATACTAGCTATCTGGCGTTTTGTCACTAGAAGATTATTTTCCTACTGGAGCGACAATAATAGTTTACAGATTGATATGCATGACTCCATGTATCTCTTCATTTTCAGTGTTGCATGGAAATATCTCTTATTTATGTTTAATTATGAAGGCAATGCTTCTTAGTTTGAGGATGAATTGCTCCACAGTACAGGCAGCTACAGAGGTCAGTGAAGGTTCATTTGAAAGCTCATTTAATGCTCATTAAGAATATGTAAATATTTGAATGCGAACAATTTCTTGGTAAAAAACTATACCCCGCAACAATTTAATGTTTGAGGTGCCAGGAAGATGTCTTTTGCTCCAGAGCATGAGAACACCGACTGGACATGGTGGAGAACATTGAGTGGACATTTAGGAAACCTGTCCTATTGAACTAGAACTATTGTTCTATCCTGAGAAAAGTGGCACCAGCAGCATCTGCTTTTGCCATTCACCCCCCCTTCACTGACATAAACCTGCTGGCCTGGCAGAGCTCTGAAAGTGATTGAATTATGTCTGAATGTTGGACTGTCCTCCAGTGCCTATGAGCAGCCTTAATGTCTCTGCTTTCTAACAAGTCTTTAGTGAGTTAATCTTTAACTGTTTTGCATGTACATTTTTGGGAGGTACGTTAGGGTGCACCTAGGTGCAATGTGCAATAGCATGTGCTAAATGCGCGTAACATGCACTTGGCGCAATGCTCTGGTGTAAATAGATCCTAAAAGTAAGATTATCATTGTTTAGATGATCTCTCACAGGGAACCCTTTGCAGTCTCAGTGTCCTTATTGTATTTCCACTATGTATGTGTGCTTAGGTAAGATACATGTTTGTGTGTGTTTTTTTTCAATGATTTTTTAATGTATCATATTATATATTTTATTTTTTAGGTTGATCACTTTCACAAGGAATTGACCAAACTGCATGCTAGAGCCCCTATAAGAGAGCATTTTTCTCTGACCTACAAATGAAATTGGATGTTATCCTTTCACTCCCAGCGGTACAATTTTACCCTATTCTATATGAGGAATTATCTTTACGTACACATCGCTTATACAAGTAGAGGAAAATAGGGAAGCTGCCATCCATTGCTTACCTGATTTAAAAAAAAATGCTAGTTGCCTAGCTCTTGTGATGGCCCTCTGGTTGCATTAAATTGAATGAAGAACAAGTGTGCATTTCAGAAGTTCTGACTTTATTGGCCGCATAAAAATTTCAGAGCAATGACTCAAAATACTGAAGCTTCAGACAGTCTGGCATTTAGCATTTTTAGAAATAGGTCAGCTTTTGCAGCCTCCATATGTTTTTCAGCATGTGTCCTTTGAAACAAGCTAATGGCTGCTGTCGTATCTGAGAGCTTGTTTTAATCCTTGAATTGCCATGATGAAGGCCCTCTGTTTCTGGCTCTCTTGGACAGGGATAGCTATGATATAGGTGACATGCCATTGGCATTCAAAGTGGTAAAAGCTGTGGTACAGGATTCAGCCAATGATGCTAGCATTGTCACCTAAACTGATGACAATCATGTGAACAATACCTGTGAGAAAACTGCCAGAAGGAATGAGGCAATGGATAGTGAGCTATTATAGAAGTTATAGCTGTAGTTGGAGGCAGAACATAGTGTAGGTGACCTGTGAACTCCTGCTTGGGAAACAACACATCATAGTAAAGGGCATGCTCATACCAAAACGACAGCAATGAGATTCAACTGTGTGCCCAAATTGTTCCTTGACATGGTGGACCTTTGTCTCATATGTGTCTGCAACCAGAGGAGTGAATACCTACCTCTCATGTTGCATGCATTACCTAAATACCACTCCAATGAATAGAAATATTGCTGTAAAGTCTGCTAAAGAACTGATACTCCCTGGAGTGTCGATCTTCTGTTCCCTCCGGATGTGCTCAGTGGTTCCTTCTGCTGACCTCCATGTCACGACAGAATATCTGTATTTACATTACATTTATTTTGCTGAAGAGGGAGAGCCAGCTATAGATGCATGATCAATAC